GTCTCCTGTGTCCAGAGAACACGCAAGAGAAGGGAGGGAGCGGGGAGGGGTGTGTCTCGATTTTTGAAAGCACAAAGACCGTTAGACCTAGGCCTACCGTGTCGAAACGCTTCCCAGTGCTCTTTAACTCAAACGAACTGCAATTGGCTTCAATGAACACATTGTTTGTTCAGTACACACAGCTTATTTGTTGAAAAGCTTATGGCAAACAGGACTCCATGAGGGCTGTTGGAGCTTGTGCGCGCCTGCCACTGTGAATGGACTTAACGAAACACTTTGTTCGAATACTCGACCTTAACTAAACACCTAAATAACAGGTTTCAAATGCCGTAAAAACACGCCCCCGATTCGTGGTGCCAAAACCAGAGGTTGGGGTGGAGGTGGGGAGGGGGGGGGGGGGGTGATGAAAGATGGGGTTGGGGTTTTTTAAAGTTTTAGTAAGAGTTTTACAGCCCTCACAACACAATAAGGTCATATAAGTGATGAAAGATGACTCTGTAACAATGAAAGAGACCAGAACACTTTAGTCAGCCCAATTGTCCATATTGAAAGCAATAACTCACCGAGCGCACAAATCAACTTATCCTCGTGAAAGCCGATCACTTTATTATTCGGTCGTTTGAATTTTCAAGCACTTAGGTACATGTTTAAATATTTGGTTTAACCCTTTAAAGGATGTACCGGACACATACGTCCGACCACCAGCAGACCAAAACATTTCGAACAATCATACACAAATCAGAAAAGAACACGAATTCATATTTCATGATATGCATGATATTGGTTGCCCTTTTAAGATTTAAATAAAGAAAAGAGAAATAAAAAACTATGAATAACCGCACAACTTCAAGCTTTGTAGAATGACCAAAAAGGGTGTCGTCAAAGTTTTTGGGTTTTTTTACCGACTGTTTGTTCAGGCTTATCGAGCATGCCTACCACCGTGATGGCTCGTCGAACCCAGGCTTAATGGGGGATCAGCTCAACATGCGTCACAAGGCCACACGCCCCCGCATTGCACGGATGCTTTCACGAACGGTCGGTGCCCAAGTGTCCTCTTTCTTAAACAATGACGGACAATGGCATACCAGACACATAGGCTACTACTTGCGTCAGAAGGGAAGTCTATGGCGAAATGGAACACCCTCTATCTCTCTCATCCATGCACGCGCGCGCG